TCGTGGTGTTTTAAATAATATACATACAGTATAACGCAATTGAAGCAGTATTTGTAAGGCACACTGTATCAAATAAAAAATAATATGCGTTTGTAATTGTATGTGATAGCCCTTGTTTCGATTGAACGTCTTTCATTTTAAAGCGAATAATTGTTCCCAATTATTTGATAATTAGTTATGTGTCACGTTACGTTTTACAACATATAATTATACAAGAATACCCTTGTAAAAGAAGTAGCTGAAATGTCCTTGTTCTTACGGGAAAGGGTTACACTGAATGGCGCCATCACACGACACTGTTGTGAGTTGATCTAACATGGTCTTCTCTAGGAGGCGCATTGGCGATTGGTGTGAACGTATTGATGCAACCGCCATTTTTATTTTATGTATATACAGATCATATATATGTCAATATTACGTAATTACAATTATTAATATTCTTCAAATTGCTATGTATTCTATTTGTTGAGTCTTCGTAGTCACGTAGTATAACACATGACTACTGTATTTACTTATAGATCCAGTCATACCGTCGTCATAACGTGTTTATTAAAGTATTTTGTGACTAACATGGCGACATACACACGGCAGCGACGACCTTTACACCTTGGATCAGCGCCTTGTTTGTAGGCTTCCATTAATAATGCATCTCGGAGAATATATTCACAATCAGAAAAAGATTTCTAAATAATTACACCCAAAGTAAGAGCTGCCGGGTGAAAATCATCCCAGGCGTGCTATCTTCAGGAATATTCTTTGAGCTGAATTCCTATTGCCGCTGATCAAAGAGATTTCAATGAAGGCACGTACGGCGGCTGTCGTGAATGTGACCAATCGATGTGGTGTTGTGAATACGCGTAACTTAATTTGTCGCATATTCTGCGTTGTCTTTATAATAATCCCATATATCATGTCATAACCTGGTGACAGCATAAGACCCCGTTCGACCACGTGAAGTCCACAATGCTATTGATAATTCAAGACAGCCGTAACACACCATCTATAATCACCCACAAAACACACCACGATTTAAAATAAAAATAAATCACAAATATAATGTTCGTGGAGCAGTATGGATTTATGGGTTTTTTCATTATCGTAATTTGTTTGTTTGATATCTTTGTAAATATGGTGAATATAATACATTCGACTTAATTAATTATGACACAAATAAATAAATAAATAAATAAACAAATAAATAAATAAATAAATAAATAAATAAATAAATAAATAAATAAATAAATAAATAAATAAATAAATAAATAAATAAATAAATAAATAAATAAATAAATAAATAAATAAATAACTCTATCCATGTTAGCTATTGCGCGTTACATCCAGTAGCGTATGTCGTTTGAAAAATAATCAATACCTTTTTTTTTTTGTTATAAAATATGCATATACAGGTTTATTGAACCAAGTAACAGTGACCTGTCGCGTTCGAGATTTACATGACAGTTAACATTACTTGTCTTACACGATTTTCATATCGGAATTATACGGCGTATTGTATAACTTGACCTTAATATATTCTAAGCCCAAAAATATACGACGTTGTTGTAGTAAATATTGAAATAAACAACATGTCATTCAAACTCCAAGACTGTCAGCGGTTACTTATGTATGTATGTTCTCTATATTTCTTTTATTTTTCAGTATAATTTTCTTTTGATAGTAATATGAGCTTATTTACATATTAGCTATAGTGTATATATAATACTGAAAGTTTGATATCCGTAGCTGAAGATGGTATGGTATAACCATCTCATCATCGCCATGATTGTAGCGCGAATGATACTGGTTCAAGAAACATAATTAAGATACTGCACGAGATCAGACAACCCTAGGCATTAAGACTTATAATTGAAAAAATGAAATTGCTTGTCTGTGTGAGGTCAGTTGATGTTTGAGGGATGAGTCGGTAGCTAGTATAATCGTTCAATTCACTTATATTTAATCCCTGGAATACATTTTCAAAACCTGACCAGGTCAGAGTGTATCATCACATAATCCACTGCAGTATTAAAAATACAAGTTGATATTGAAATTAATCAAACCAGTTTAGCATTGATCGTGTACTATTACCCGCGACCTTATGACCGAACAGATGACATTCAGAACGTCACTGTATAGATGAGTAAAAGGAAACTTGACATTGTCTGCATAGCATTTAGAACGTATGTAAATAAATAGCGGATTTCCCGTTCAGTGCGAGATCTCACATATCGCGTGAACAAAGTGGACCGATTATCTAATGCAATTTAAACTTGAATTTCTTTGTTATATCTCAATGCCAAAATGCCTAATTTTCAGAAGTGAATATGCCGTTAAGATATCATTACGTCATCAAAATTGACCACTATCTAATGTGTATAACACATTATTAAGAGTGGAAATACAAAAATTTGTTTCGCTCGGAAAGTCATATCGGTATTTTTTTTAAAAAGTAATATGCCTGAATGTCCTGTTGTTCTTGAAAAAAAAATCATTTAGCAATCTTGCATTGCTTCTAAAAACTCAGTTATATTGATCGCTAAAAAGTAGTAATCTGATTAGGGCCTTTTTAACTGGAGACACGTCTTAGTAATGATGATCGATTATCACTATGCTACACTGTTCATTTCGCTAAATTCAATGATAAACTCCGCAGCTACTCGGCATTGTAACTCTTTGGACTCAGCCTTCCCACATTAAAAGCTAAATACCCATATGATAAGAAAGTTAGCAAAACAATACTGAAAAAAGTGATCCCCAGGCCAGAAAATGATTTTTTTGTCAACTTACTGACCCGCTTGTCAGTACATATTGTACGCGACTTTCACACGCCGCAAACTGCCACACCCGTTTCTATTGTACATGCTGCCTGAAATTTCAGGTAAATATGAAAATATAATATTTTGTTTTGAAATTTTGCCTTGTAAATGAACTTCGACTGAGTGATCCTCAGAACACGATGCGAGGACGATGGCGTTTTGTCATATATACGGTATAATATATCAGTACCCGACAAAAGGCATGTCGTGTCTCGAAACTATAAGTAAATATGATACTTTCATTGGACATTTTACATAACGAACTCAATATAGCATGTCATATAGCATATCATGTGTCTTTGACAAAAATTGTTCGTATGTATGCGAGACACGTATACTGTATGTCGCCAATCGATCAGAGGGAGGCTTCTATTTATTTGAGAAACAAATGTAGCATTTGTCATATTATCGTTGGTATTCCCAAACCTATATGTCTTCCATTTACATAATAAAAACTCTTTTTAGTCAATATCATTTTATCATTGGTGCAATTCAATATGAAGACAACGATTGATTGTTAGATCGTTTGTAGTCACTTCCTTTAT